ACAGACAGTGGAGAAGTGGGTGAGGGAGACATCGGATGGTGTAAGATATGGTAAAATAATAATAATTTATAAATTATCAAGGGTTCAGGGGGGAGGAGGGAAAGGGGAGGGAGGGGAATAAAATTAGGAGCTGAAACCAAGTGCTCAAGTAGAAAGCAGGTGTTTTGAGAATGATGATGACAAATTATGTACAACTGTGCTAGACACAAATGATATATGTACGGATTGTGAAAAGAGTTGTATGAGCCCCAATAAAATTATTTTAAAAAAACAAAGTGGATATTTATCTATGTATGCAACATGGAAGGAATATTTATAAGCAGGTAATAATGAATTTGAAATATAATGTATAAAACTCAAGTGATTTTGATTATTCTATTATAGAAAAGTGAGAATTGAGCAATTATCTTTACAAATAGCTTTAGCATAAATATAAACAACCTAACTAGATTTTTGCTGAGTTACACGAGGTCTTCAACAGCAGAGAACTATTATATTCTGTAATTAAATTATTCATAAACAACTCAATATTGTTAAAAGGTCAACTTTTTGATGAATCAATAAATTGTATTATTAAAATAAACAAATGTACAAGATCTACATTAGCTAGCTATCACAAATACGTTTATGGAAAAAATAATCACATTGGTAATTCTAAATTTTTTTTTAGTTAAAGCATTAAGCAAACATTACTGGTGATAGCTAAAGCAAATACATAGAAAAAATAGTGATATATTTGGAAGAATACTGGACACTTTATCATATCATACATTTGGCATTTTAAATGCTAAAAGTTCCTCTCTATAGGGAAGATAATCTATGTATAAGCCCTGAGAAAACAATGCCCACTGCTATGGAGTTGATTCCAATTCATGTGACTCTATAGCATTTCTGACACTGTAAATCTTTACAGGAGCAGACAACCTCATCGTACTCTCAAGGAGTGGCTGGGGGGGTTGAACTAAGTTCCTGTAGGAATCACCTCAAGATCTAATACAGCCCTACCAGATTTAATCTTCGCGTATCCAAAATTAGTCCAGAAATATGTGCTTTATCACAAATATTTAGCATTACACATTTTAAGGGTTCAATACACATTTGTTAGATTAGTGAATTAATTAACTAATGATGTGGATGTCCCTAAAGGACTTCACACTAGAGGATGGAAATTCAGATCATTACAACAGAACGTTTTAAAATTTTTATTTTATTTTGATTATTGTTGAGCTACTAGAGAATGTTACAAATACTAAGTTTAAATGTATTCTTTATTAAGTAGGAAAAATATTGCTTTTTATATTAATGCCTTCTATCCATAGTTGGAACAATTCACTAATTTGCATGCTATCTTTGAGCAAGGTCAATGGTAAACTTCTCTGTATTTTTCCCCTTTTAATACATGTGCTACTGAAGCAATATAAATTACAACTTAATATATTGAAAACAAAATCTTCTCAACTGCACCTGTAGATAACGTCATGATAAATGGATGAAAGTTTGAAGCCAAGGATTTCATTTTGCTTGCATCCACAGTCAATGTTCATGGATGCAGCAGTCAAGAGAACAACTGGATACACATCTGCTGCAGAAGACCTCTCTAAAGTGTTGAAAAGCAAGGATGATACTTTGAGGAGTAGGCGCTCAATTATGGTATTGAGCACCAATCATGGGTCCAAATCATGGTATTTTCAATCACCTCATACGCATGTGAAAGTTGGGCATTGTACAATGAGGTTCAAAAGAGAAGCTATGCATTTGAATTATGGTGCTGATGAAAAATAGTGGAAGTACTATGGACTGCCAAAACAACAAATAAATCTGTTTTGGAATCAGTGGAGTCAGAATAATCTTCAAAAGCAAAGATGCTAAAACAGCATCTCATGTACTTTGTGCATGTTAATAGGAGGGACCAGTTCCTAAGAAAGGACATCATGATTGATAAAGTAGAGGGAAAGTGAAAAAGAGGAAGACGCTCAGTGAGATAGGTTGACACAATACTGCAAAGATGGGTTTGAACATGACAATGGTGATGATGGCACGGACCAGATAGTGCTATGACGTTATACATACAGTCACTATGAGTCGGAACCCACGTGACAGGAGGTAGCAACAAGAACAACATGCACAAGTAGTCCCTTGTTAACATTATCTTCTTTGTCAAAAATATGAACTAGCACAGATATGTTAAGTAGGACATTCATAGAAGATTCAACTCTCTTTCACATATGTAGGGTTCAGAAACAGGAAAGGAATATTACAAAGAAAATAAACAGAAAGGCTTCCATTTGGGTATGACTGCTTAGAGAGATAAGTAGTTCAATCAAGGTTCAATTATAACTAAAAAATGGATTCTTAAATATAAATTATATTTTTAAAAAACCACTCATTCCAGATTTATTATTCAAATGTCAAAACACAACTCTAATTATGGAAAAGGAGAAAAATATAATAAGAATGTTGTTACTTAGGTCATCTAATTTTTCACCTTTATTTGTTTTTTCATTTTTTTTAGCGTATCCTGCTTTAAAAAACCCCTGAGGGTTTCACAGTTGCATATCCGATGTCACTGATGTATTAACCAGGACTGATATTCTTGGGTTGGTTCTGTTAATGCCAGTCTGTCTATTTTACAAAGATAGTGTCATTATTTTACTGATATATCCTTATCCTACAATACTTCTGGTGTTGTTGTTGTGAGGGGCTGTCAAGTTAATTATGATGCTTAGTGACTCGATGCACAATAAAACAAGCAAACAAAAACCAGTGTCCCACATCAAGCTTTCAATTATTGCTGTGTTTGAGCTCATTGGAGCAGCCACAACGCATCTCTTTGGTGGTTTTCCCTGAGCCTCTATTTCACCAAGCAGGATGTCCTTTTCCAGGGCTCTTGGTAGGAGCCCTGGTGGTACAGTAGACTATGAATTGGGTGAACATTACTTCTCAACATGACATCCTTGGTCTTTAATACTGCAAAGAGCTCTTTCTTGTGGAAAAGATTTCCCCAAGGCAATAGGTCATTTGAGTTTCGACTTCCATGAATGTTTATTAGAGTTATGTAAAATAATAGCTGGGGCAGCTTCAATCTTTTTCCTTTGTCCTATGATGTTTTCTATTGGTCCAGTTGTGAGGACTTTTGTTTTCTTTACAATGAATTGCAATCCATGCCAAAGGCTGCCATTTTTGAAATGCATCAAGTGCCAAGATTGTGCCACCAGCATCTCAGACGTTTATAGTGAATCCCAATCTCAATGTCATGTTGTTCATATTTTTCAAATTCTCGGATTATTTGCATGACATAGAGATTGAATATGCATTAGAATAAAATATAAACCTGACCTGCACCTTTACTCATTTAAAAAGAGTCCCTTTCTCTGTTTGAATGACTGACTCTTGATTTATATGCACATTCATAAGCACAAATAAGTGATTTGAAATTCTCAGAAGTTGTGAACTGTCCACTTCTGAGGGATTTGCTACTGAGAACCTTATGAAAAGTGGCATAATATTTTGCCCTTAGAACCCTTTCTATTTTAATTCAAAGCTTGAATTTTTCCTTCAGTCCTTTTAGTTTGAACTATATTGGGTGTGTTCTCCTCAGAATATCTATAAATGGATACCAAATGATAATTCTCAACTCTCTTACCATCAAGCATAGCTTTGTTCATGTTTTAATATTTTGAAGAACTCTAATCTAACTTTTATATATATTAAATCCTAGCTTTCATTATTTCAAGTGATCAAAAATTAAAATAAATGATTAATTAATTTTTAAAACCTCACTGCCATCTAGTCAAGGTCAACTCAGAGCGACCCTATTGAACAGGGTAGATCTGCCCATGGGAGTTTCTGAGACTGTAACTCTTAAAGGAAGTAGACTATCGTTTAACAGCTATGCAGCTGGTATTTTTGAACTGCTGACTTTGCAATTAGCAACTCAATGAGTAAACACTATGGCATATGCTCTCCTTTTCAATTTATTATTGTTCGAATGTCAAGTAATAACATCTAACAATAATAAATCAGAGTCGTTGTTGACTGTTATCCAGATACTAAGTTTTACATGAAGGAGCCCTGGTACTGTAGTGGTTACATGTTTAATGTAGTGGTTATATGTTGGGCTGTGATCCACATGGTTGGCAGTTGGAAACCACCAGCACCCTCAGGGGAGAAAGACTGGGCTTTCTACTGTACTCAAGAATTTCAGTCTTGGAAACCCACAGTGGGTCAAAATGGGTCAGTGTTGACTCAATAGCAGTGTGTAAGCGAAGTTTTAGGTGACACTTTAAAATAATAAAAATCTTAATGTATGTTAACATTTTGTACCACATAGCTGAAGAAAATACAAGCTATTATATAAAAAATGATTGTTGATTTTATGATAGTACCTCTAAATTTACCGAGAATAACTTATCACTATTCCATTTAATAGTATATCACAATAACTATTAGGTTATGATGATAGATACCAACAATGACATTTTTATCAAATACAATTTACATACAATTAAATGCAGAGATATTGATTTTGAGTTTGATAGTTAAAAAATTAAATCAGACGCACTACGAAAAACTAGATTCTGAGCTATAGCCACATTCTATACAGAGTAGAACTTCCCTATAGAATTTTAAAAGATATACATTTTTATGAAGCTGGGCAGGTGTATGCTTTAAACACTGAATCACTGGAGCTCGTGTATAAACTCAAGTAACTATTATTCCAATTAAGTTTTAGAGGATTTTCATTTCCTCAGAAACTCCCCTATGCTCCTGTCCAAGAAAGCTCCTTTTAAGTTGTTGATTCAACTGCTTTGTAATTTCTGTCTCCTTCAGTGATGAAGTCAAAGAGCTGAACTGAAGATTTCAAAGGGTGGCTCAAAATTATCAAAATGATTCAATAGAGCATTACGATTAAATGTGCAATGACTGGGTACCAATCACAACAAAGATATAATATATTGGAAAACTTATTGAGAAATAAGAGAACACTGAATTGAGAATTTGAGAATACTAAATTTTGCTCATACAGAACTTGAATATGCATCGATAGGCCATAATCAGAAAACCACATGGTAGTAGATGCAAATTGTATTATTTAATCTTATTAATCTGTATATTTTGTAAATACCGTAATTAGAGAAGCTGTACATTACGAATTATGACATCCTGATGATATTTCCTCAAAAAAAACAAAACAACACCCCCTTCCCCGCAAAAAAAAATCCCACCTCACTGCCATGGAGGCCATGCTGACTCATAGGGACCCTATCAGACAGGAAAGAGCAGCCCCTGTGAGGTTTTGACACTAACTCTTCACAGAAGTAGAAAGGTCATCTTTCTCCCGAGGGGTTTCAAACTGCTGACCTTTCAGGTAGCAGCCCAATAGGTGACCCATGGACCACCAGTGCTCCTGATTATATATCCTAGCTTGCTAAAAGCAAAATGGACTTGAAGCACCCACAGGCTTAAGTAAGGATAATATCACAACATAAGGAAAACAAAAATCCTCACAACAGGAAAAATACACAACATTATGGTAAATCAAGAAAATATTTACATTGTCAATGATTTAATTTACTTTGGCCACAATCAACACCATGGAATCAGGAGTCAGCAATTCCAAAGACGCTGGACAAATCTGCTGCAAACGCCACCTTTAAAGTGTGAAAAAAGCAAAGTTGTGATTATGAGCAACAAGGGTCAACCAATCTTATATGTCTATGGAAACGTCTTAATTTATGTTGTTCTGGTTAGGGGCTATCAAGCTGGTTCTGACTCATAGGGACCTTATGTACAACAGAAAAACATACTGCTTGGACCTGTGCCAGCCTCCGAATTGTTCTTATCCAAGTAACCTCCTGTCTTTTCAACACTTGAAAGAGTTCTTGTTCAACAAATTTACCCAAATGCAACATGCCTTTTGATCTCTTGACTGCTGCTTCCATGAGCATTGATTGTGGATCCAATCAAGAACAAATCTAGACAAATTCAATCTTTTCTGTTTGTCATGTTGTTGCCAATTGGTGCATTGTGAGGAATTTGGTCTTCTTTACATGCTTGTAGCCAAGTGTAAAGGCTGTAATCCTTTCAATGGATCTTGACCAGCAACTGCTTCAAGTCCTGCTCACTTTCAGCAAACGAAATTGTGTCGTTTATATATCCCAAGTCATTAACAAGCTTCCTTGAACCCTGACGCAGTGTTCTTCTTCATCTTACCCATTCCGAGGGATAAGTGCAGTGAGTGGATTCAATACTGACACGCACCTTTCAGGCTTTTCAAACAAGCAAGTTGTGTTCCCATAACTGCCTTGTGATCCCTTACAAGTTCTGAATGAGCACAATGAAGTGTTCTGGAATCCTGTTCTCCTCAAGGCTATCCATAGTTTGGTATATGGTACACACAGTGGAATATCTTTGTG